GAAAGGAAGGAAGGGAGGGAGGAAGGCAAGCATCTTATAAAGAGTAACACAGCTTTTATAAAGCTCTAGAACCATAGGCTAATCACTATATGGACCCAAGCTCCAAATTTCAAATTCCTAATACAGAGACCATAACAACCTATCTCACAGGGTAGCTGAGAAAATTAAGTTAGAGACAGGATCTCTTCAATTAAAAGTAAGGAAACTTCAACTTGAACTAATTTAAACAAAAATAAATAAGTAAATAAATAAAAGATCCTTACTGGCTCCCATAAACAGAAAACTGAGAAGCCTTGGAGTGCATCTGACTTGAGGCATAGCTGGACCCAGTTACTCAAATTATTTACTCTAGATGCTTATTTGCTTTTGCAGTCTCTCTCTCCCCCGCCCCGTCTCTCTCTCTCCCACCCCTTCTCTTCCCCCACCTTCCTTTCATTCTTCCACTTTCTTATTTGGGGCTCTGTTCTACTTTTGCCTATGTTGTCTTCATACTCAGTCACTATTTCTAAAATGCCACAAGAAAGATGACCTCCTGCATTTCCAGGCCAAATGGTCTTTACAGAGGAGGTGAGACTTTCACACATCCCATTTTGGAGGACTCTGATTAGATCCACTCTACAAACATGGGCAAATTCTACAAACTGTGATTGACCAGCCTTAGTCAAATGCTTTGTCTCTGCACAGGGGTGGAGTAAAGGGACTTTAGGCTCTTGAGAGCCTGCCTCTTATCTGCCTTCATGTTGAAAACTGCTCACCTTGAACTCATTCCTTTTATTCAGCGATACTTCAGAAGGCACAGAATGTAAATTGGCCTCTCATTGGGTGATGAGGAAAGGCCTTCTACTAGAGGCCAGGGATCTGCATTCTAGTCCAAAGTTTGCTACCACCTGTTCTTGTGGCTCTGGTCTGATTAGTCAATCTCTTTGTGCCTCAGTGACCCCGTCTATTGCATGAGGGTTGATCCCAGTGATTTCCAAGTTCCCTGCTAGGTCAAGGGCCTGTGCCCCTATGATTTTATCCTTATTGTATGGCATCAGTCGAGGGTACAGAAGTTCCCTTTATCTACAAGGAATGCACACCAAGATCCCATCAGATGTTTGACCTGTGGATAACACCAAAACCTAAATATACTGGTTTTTTTCCAAGTATACTTACCTATGATAAAGTTTAATTTATAAATTAAGTAAAGACATTAACAGTAACTAATAATAAAATGATTTAACAATAAGTGCAATAAAAGTTATTTAAGATGTATGAATTGTTGATTTTTGGAATTTTCCATTTCATATTTTGGGAGCACAGTTAATGTAGGGTAACTAAAACTGTGAAAAAGATGAAGATAACCATACTCACACTGTAATGGAGACTGCCTCAGTGGCAATGACTTCAGGCATAGAATGAAGCACCAGCAGAAACGTAACACAGACATCTGGGTAAGAGAAAGTGTGGCTCTTTCTAAGTCACCTAAGCACCACCACACGGGGCTGCACCTTACCTTGGCATTTTGAATTTTCTGATCAAGTCAGTCCCAGCTTAAGCTGCCTGTGTTAACAGCAGAAAAGAAGACCGGTCATGCTCTGCCCATTTCCTCTGACCAGATATCTGGCTTTCTGCAGCCTCTCTTCTCACTGACTCATCCTCATTCGGTGGCATCTGGCCAGTCCTTCCATGTTCTCCTGTTTGGGTTCATCTTGTGTCTTTACAAAGTGCCAGCCTCCAAAGGGTCCCTGACCTCCAAGTCTCAGTCCTGAACCCGGCTAAGTGGTAGTCATTACCTTTGAAAAGCTAGGTATAGAAAAGTTACTTTCCAAAACCATGGGTGTGTGCCTTTCAAGACCTTGTCCTGTCACAAAAACTAGATCCAGCTCCTCTTCTTCTCTATCCGAAAACCTTTTAGATCTTCACATTCTCTGCAATCTGCACCCAACTATTCCTTCTCCCCCTCCGGATCTCAGCTCAGACAAAACATCTGTCACAAATGCACCGTAGTTTCTCGTGCCTGTTCATCCTCTGGGTTGCCCACCACATCATCCTCAAGCTATTTTAGAACTTTCTGTCTAAGTTTTCCCCTACTGGCTACATTCACTAGCAAACCAAGCAGACGTGCTGTCTGCCCTAGTGGAACTTACATTCTGCCAGTAAGTCAGGTAGTTTAATAAACCAACAAATAAATGTGTGATGGATGGTCAGATTTACACAGAAGGTAGTGGCAGAAAGTTGTTTACGTGGGGAGGCCAAGACAGTGACTCAGAAGAGGACATGCTCTCAGCTGAGACTGGGAAACAAGAGCTAAAGTAAAGTCCCAGAGGCTGGCAAGAGCTCAGCAAATGCAAGACAAGAGAGAAAATGTAGTTGAAGCACAGTGGGCACAGTGATGCCCACAAGTACATGGTCACACCTGTTCTCATCCTCCTACAAACAGGGATGGCACCAGCTCTGATGAATAAGAAACGGCTGGAGCCCCACCTCCTGCCCACTCCACACTCCACAGCTCAGGAACCCACCTCCACTACTGCACTCAGATCTGCTCGACTCACTGGTAAAGGAAGTTTTCCTTTCTAAAGGAGAAAACAATCGGACCACAACAAAAGCTTCCAAGTAAAACAAAAGCTTCCAAGTCAGGAGAAAGCTACTCTGGTGAGGGTGTGGTTCTGGTGAGGAAAGACGGGAGAGGGTGTTCCTGCATGCACAGCATTTAGCAGCAGACACACTTGAGGAGAAGTCAGGCTCACGCATGACAGAGCTGTGCGGGTTGCATCACTTTCCCCACACTACGGCTTTCTCCTCCTCCCACAGTGGAGGTGGGAGGAGTAGGTGAGTCCATGCTCTAAAGTCCTCAGGACCTCACGAAGTCTTGCTCAGAGCCAGGAGCTGACAGTCACACTCCTGAGAGATCAGCCTCATTCCCAGCCAAGGCCCTGCTCCCACCGCCCACCCAACCTTCCCACCTGTACTAGGAATCCACCAGAGACCCCTCTGGAATAAAAAGCCAACCCTTTGAGGTGCAAAGACCCATTTGGCATAAAACTCCATCGGCTGCAGGCCACTCCCTCCCATCACGCTTCAAATCCAACAGCAGAAGACAGATGACCTCACAGAATTAGAGATGAATAGCACTGTTTTTGTTTAAGCACTGAGGTGACGTCTGTTTTTTATTAAATATCATAAGTAAATTATTATTTTATACCAGAAACAAAAGTATAAACACGGCCACAATAAACTTTGGTACTCAAACACTGGTACACCAATGGGCCTGATTGGCCAAACCCCAGACTCACTGGTTTAACTTGCTGGTGGCCTCAGCTGGATGGAAACCCCAGGAAGCTCACTCTGGATGTCAGGAAGTAGAGTTTCCTCGGCTGCTCCACACACAACCTTCACCACCCTCACAAAAGCCCTGAATGCCGTTGCTCAACACTGAGCAGCAATGAGGACGATGGCTTTTAAAACAATAACACTCAGAGTGCCTCTTACGTGCCAGGCCTACCTCGCCTATGACAGCCGCTATGAGGCATCTGGGGAACTGAAAACTGAGATGTGGCTGATCGAAGTTGACATGTGTGCTAAGGAAAAAAATTAACTGGATGTCAGTGATAACATATGAAAAAACATATGTAACATCTCAATACTTTTAATATGGATTGCATGTTGAAATATCTTGGATATACTGAGTTGGGTAAAATATGTGATTAATTTTCAAGGTTTTTTTTTCCTCAGTACAGAAGATTAAAATCCAAGACCCTTCCACTGAGCTATATCCCCAGCCCTTTTTTTTTTTTTTTTTAAATTTTTGAGACAGCATCTTGCTAAGTAGCTGAATTGCCCAAGCTGGTCTTAAAATTGCGATCCTCCTGCCCCAGCCTGCCAGAGGGGTAAGATTACAGGCACATGCTAGCACTTCTGGCTAATTCACCTGTTTTTCATGTGGCTACTAGAAAAGTTTACATGAATGGGATTTCATCAAATCCCTAGTAAACAGCAACTAAAGGCAAAGCATAGCATATGTTCTATTGCTGTATAGGCTCATAGCAACTTCTTCGGGTCGTGATAGCTATTAACCCATTTTACAGCTTACAATACTGAGATTTAGAAACTGGCTTTAATCCCTCAGACCCTAGGGGCCACTGCAGTGCTCTGCAGAGATGACTTTCCCTGATTTCCCTCTCTGAATTCTGTTTCTTTCTCAAGATCTGTGTATTCCTCTTAGTGGTACATTCACAGTTCTCTTACCATTCCTATTTCTCTGGCTTGGTTTCTCCAACCCTGATACTTCACCATAATACTTCTTGCCTGGCCACCTATGGTGGTGCACACCAGTAAGCCTAGCACTCTGAGAGACTGACTCAGGAGGACCATAAATTCAAACCCAGCTGGGGCAACTTAGCGACTTAGACCCTGTCTCCAAATTTAAAAATTAAAAGAGCTGGGAATATAAGTCAGTGCAAAGGCCCTGGGTTCAATTCCCAGTGCCATAAAAAAAGAAAAAAAAATCTCACTTACCCCCTCAAAAGTATGTGCTTAAGTGGCATCTGCCCTAAATTATAGTCTCACTTTTCCGGTCCCCTGGCTTTTCCTTTATAAGGTACTGTGTTCTCATGCACTGTTTTCCCAGGTATGGGTTATGACCTAGTCATTAGAGGGAATTTTGAAACCAACTCAGTGGGCCATAACTAAATGCATTTTGTAAATGAAATAGAAAAGTATAGAATGGAAAAAAAGAGACCACTGTGTATATCACAGTTAAACAGGGTTGTCTAACACTTTTTTATGTGTATACTGAGTCATGATATAATTTATATTCCCAACTCATCCTCAGTCCAAAAATAGTCTGAGAAACACTGTACTAGTGGCTTGGAACAAGCAGGAAATGTTCTGGGAGCCACCTCATTAGTCTGTTTCATTGTCACATGAGCATCCTAGAGTACACATCTTAGTGCAAACAAGCCTAGACAGTACAGGTCAGTCTCTCAACGTGACTTTTTTCTTTTTGGTACCGGAGATTGAACTTGGGTCCTTGTGCTTGTAAGGCAGGCCACCGAACTGCTGAGCTAAATCCCTGGCCCTCGACGTGACCTCTTCATGCAATCAAGAGATGCAGCACTCTGGGAGGCTAAAGCAAAAGAATCACAAGTTCAAGTCCAGCTTAGGAAACTTAACAAGACTTTGTTTCAATATAATAAGAAATAAAATGGAAGTGGGGGGAAGGGATGTAGCTCAATATGAAGGCCCTGGGTTCACCCCCCAGCATAGAGAAAGAGAGAGAGGGGTCGGGGGAGAAAGGAGGAGGAGGAGGAGGAAGATGGAGGACAGAGGAGAACCAGTAAGCACTACATGTCAGACACTGGGAGGTATTCACATCACCCGCAGAGTTCGTGAAAATATATACTGCTGGGCCCCACCCTCAGAGCTTCTGATTCCGTAGGTCTGCAAGGGGACCAAGAATTTCGTGTTTAACAAGACCTCTGTGATACTAATGGTCCTGGCCAGGGAAGCCACACCTGGAGGACCATTGGTGGGTGCTTAAGGACAGAAGCTTAGCTGGATGGACCTGAGCTAAATTCCACCTGCACTGCCGCCATGTACCTGCTCTACAAACTCAGAATTCAAATCTCCAGCTTAATTTCTAAAGTCAATGCTTGCTTTAATTGCAGGATGTTCGATATATTCCTTTGAGAACTCTTCACACACACACACACACACACACACACACACACAGCTTACAAAGATCCTGAGAGATTTAATGATCCAAAGAGTCACTCCTTTCCCACCGGCCAAAGAATCTGTACGATGACCAGTGACACCCGCCACCACTTCTCACTGCATATGGGGCCCCTGTTGAAGTCTGAGCCTCACCCACAGCCTGTGGATGGACTGTTGATGTCTACAAGTCCAGCATCTGGGCTTTAGGATTTAGGCTTTCATGTTACAGCTTTTTTCCACTGCTGTGTTATCTTTCACCAAAGCACATTTGCACCCTAGTGTCTCGTTCCCTGGGAGTTCCAAACATTGCCCAAACCAGCCCATCTTTGTGAATTCTCAACTCCTGGGGTTAAACCTGGTCATTAGAACCGATTTCTTCAAGGTAAATTTAGTTCAGGGACTCCAATGCCCTGTCGCCACAGTAAATGGCTCCAGTTTCTCTAAAATTTAGAACCTTGGGAGAAAAGATTAGGAGGGGATTTTCACAAATAGGGTTACTTCTCCTGGGAGACCAACTCTCCATGACAAAAGAGTGAAGAAGCTTTTGGTAAACCACTCAAAAAACAAAATAAAATGATGTTCCCCAGTCTCTTTTCCAAGACAATGGACTCCATTTACACTTTCATTTGCACAAGAAAGCAGGCTTTTCCAGGACCTTTTCCTGACCTCCTCCAAGGACTTTCTGCCAATTCTCAGGTTTAAATTTTGCTTTGTCAACCTCTACAGCCATGGGCAGTTTAGGACTCTCGTGCTCAATACCTAAGTACTCATTTGTGAATTACAAAAAACAATTCAGTGGATTACAACCAAAATTTTAAAAAGGGAGTTAAAATAAAAAGTAAAAGTATTTTACAGGTTTGTGAAGTTTTTGTTTCACTTATATACAAAAAATGTGCCTATGCTCAATCAAGATTTTAAAATGAGCTTATTCTAAAAGACAGACTTCTAGAGATAGAGAAAAGGATCAAAGACAAGGCAGAGAAAAGAGCAGGGTAACAAGGTAGAAAATATCACAGTATTATTTGCATGCACTAATATACCAAAATGAACCTCGCTATTCCATATTACCGATGTGCATCATATTTTTTAAATGGGTTTCTTGGAACTGGAGCTATAGTTCAATGGTACTAGCATATCCAAGACCCAGGGTTCAATTCTATCACCATAAAACATAAAAAGTTATTCTTGATTTATTTTTTGGGGGGTGTACCAGGGATCAAACTCAGGTCCTTGTGCTTGTGAGGTAGTTGGTGGAACCAATGAGCTAAATCCCTGGTCCTAAAAAGTTATTCTTGATGTGAATCAAAGTTAACAAGTTTGAATCCACTGCTTTGTGCAAAGGTCTTTCTGTCACAGAGGCATTCTCTCTCATCAGGGTTTGTGTTTATCCTGTAAGTCTCCACTCGGAAATTCCTTCTTTTTTTTTTTTTTTCAGTTTTAATTGAGTTTATTGGTACATTTTAGGGATACGGTACAGTTACATTCATTGTTGGGATCTTGTACCTCTATATGACGGAAATGCCTTCTTTAGCCCCCTCTTCCCACTTGGGGGCCCACCCCTTAAGCTTTCAGCCTTGTTTGTGTCGGGTAGGTAGGCCAAGATGGGCACGGTAGCACATACTTGTAATCCCAGCACTCTAGGAGGCCTGCAAGTTCAAGCCAAGCCTGGGCAACTTAGTGAGATCTTGTCTCAAAAAATAAAAATGAGGTGGAACTGTAGCTCAATGTGAAGGCCCTAGGTTCAACCCTCAGTATAGCAAGACAAAACAAATCAAGCAGCTAGACCAAAGGAAAGAAAGGAGCTGAGACGGAGGCTATTCCAAAAATGAATGCAGAACCTAAATAGGCAAGTTTGACTCTGAGCTTTCCAGCAATGTACAGCAGAAGGAAATCAGGACAGCAATGTGTGACTCATACTATTTAGGAAAAACACTTCTCTTCCTGTACATAGGAATCCCCTTCTCCCGTGAAGCCCTCTAAGAACTGTGTGCAGTGCATGGAATAACATCCTCACCCAGATCATAGGGTGAGTTTCTTGGAACAGAGCAGTCCCTACCTTAGACTGCCACCTTCCCTGCCCTTATTCTAGGGATGGCCTTAGGCGAGGAATCTAATTCCTCCTAAATACGTGTACTCTCTAGTAGTGAATTAATTACTTCATATCAAAATTACTGGAAATTATTAATAGCTGCAAGAAGCAATTATGGTTATTAACCCAGACTAACCTCAGGCTGGCATCTCAGAATTGCGTCCCTCTCCTAAATTGCCAGCAGCACCTTTCCTGGGGCGTGGTTTCCTAAGCCTCACCTTGCCTGTGAGTCAAGAGGGCAACTCAGACAGACCTACATTCTCACCTCTGCCTCCTCTAGCTGTGCAAAGGCAAGAAGCCAGGAAGACTGGACTGCTTAAACCCGGATTCCTGTGAAGTGCAAAAGCTCCCAATAAAACCAAACTAGCAGGCCACACCCTGCTTCCTCCTCCTCCACCTCCTCGTCCTCCTCCTCCTTTTTTAAAAATTCACAGGCAGTGGGGCTTGGAATGGACACATGGAGAAAAGAAAGCAAACAGCTACAGAAAGGGATTTGGACTTCAGGAAAAGTTTCTCCTCTGAAACTCTAAGGTCTTCTTCATTGGAGGCATCCAGGCTTAGTGTCTTGGACTGACTTCTTCTGACACCTGTCACTAAGTGTGCCCAGTACTACAGGGAGGTGCAGCAGTACGAAAGTGACTATTGGATGGGCAGGGAGCTATCCAACTGGAGAGCCATCTGAGCAAAAAGATCATTTCAATACTATACGTTGAAGAGGACACAAGCAGCTATGGGAGCCTAAAGGGATCCTGTGAAAGATCAAGGATCGGGGACAGCCTCCTGCAGGAGATGATATCTAAAATTCACCTTGAAAGATCCATATGATCCAGCAGATGTATAAGAAGAGAGAAGGCATCCCAAGGAAGCATCCTGTACTCTGGGGAAGTACAATGATCTGGTTGTTAGCAGAACATAAAGTTCAAAAGGGAATAGAACCAAAGCAGAAGTGGTGGGTTGAGGCCAGGTCATGGAGGGCCATGGATGCAGCCCTTCTTTCTTATTACCCCAGCTGTTTCAATATTACTGTGCAATAGTAACACATCTACCAGAGCCACACAGCCATCTACAAAGGCAAAGAATCAGGAATGGGTGCTGGAAGAACAAAGGACTCTGATATGATTTTATTTTTTCTTCCCTCCTCCTTTTTTCCTATACTGGGAACTGAACCCAGAGCCTTCACCCAGAGTTGTACTCCCAGCCACTTACCTTTTATTTATTTATTTAGGTACCAGGACTCAAACTCAATTTCAAGGACCTTGCATTTGAGAGGCAGGAGAGGTGCCGCTGAGCTAAATTCCCAGCCCACTGGCCTTTTTTTTTTTTTTTTTTTTTTTTTTTT